GATTAAAAGAGGATCTGACTGACAGTGCTCTTATGATTTCAGTTTTCGCTCTTATTATTAGATGTTCATCTAACCGGGTCAACAGTGACCCTAACACAACAAGTGCCATAACTTCAATAAGAACATTTTATAATTTAGTCAATTTAAATTGTTTTTATTTTTATTTAGCAGAAATTGAGGATCCTGACAAAGTCAAAAAGTCTTGATGCATAAAAACGTATTTAAGTTGTTCTTTTATGCATTTAAAATCAAAAACGTGTCGGTGCGGACCCTAACACAGGAGGAGGGTTAATCAATTCTTAGTCTCTGCAAACACTCAAGAGTTCACATCGAACAAAGTGTGAAGTTTAAACTCCAATTATTCAGAATTGATGATTTTCTTCAGCGATTAGCAAAATCAGAGTTGAAGGTCAGAATAAAAGATGAAAATAAAAAGACAGAGCTGATTAAAGGTCTGATCTCCCTCACAGTAAAACTGAACATAGACTCTGAACACTTCGATTCAAACGTCTGTGTTCACTCTCCATAAATGCAAACTCAGACGCCCGGATTAAACCTCCTCTGAGCGAGCGTTCATGTAAATCATCATCACATGTCAGAACATAAATCGCTCCGTCTTCACTCTTGCGTAGTCAGCACACGCTAACAGTCCCGCCGCAGCCATTGTATCATTACGCACCATTACATGCAGCCGGTTTATAACAGGCGGCTGATTGATGGCTCAGGAGCGCCTCTAAATTATGATCCGGTGTGTTTGGTCTGACCGCGTGGAGAGCTGCTCTCTCTCTAATCTCCTGAGTGGATTAAAGGGACACTGCAGAGTTTTTATTTAACAGCAGGTTCAAAAATCATCTCAAAGCAGAAGTTCTGAGCAGGAACTTCAGGACTGTAAGTGAACCAGACCACCGATGTGTTACAGTACGAAGGCACAGGTCCCCTGAGTTTTTCCAGTCCAGACATGTGACTCTCCATCAGTGGTGTCACTTTTAGGAAAGACTCCAGAGGGATTGAGTTTATCCTCAGGGGGAGCTGAATTAAAGGACTGACATGGTTTCGTTATGGAGCGCCCACAGGCTACAGCCTGACCACCATTTAGAGTCAGGGACAACTTTAGGAAGGGAAGAACTAGGGCTGCTCGATCAATCGATTTTTAATCATAATCAGATGATTTAATTATGACAACGTTCAAACATTTAAAATCCTCTCCAGGCCACCGTAGTCTCCCCCTTCCTGCGGGAGCACTCCCCAGTTCCCTCTTATTATTATTAATATTATAAAATTATTATTATTTTTCTAACCTTTATTTAACCAGGTTTGTCCCATTGAGATCCAAGATTGAGAGCTGGCCAAGGATGTCAGCACATACAGTTTCAATACATAATCACATTAATCATATAGAAAACAAAGAAAACAAAGTATAATTGAATTTTCTAAATTAGTTCACAGAATTTACAAGATTCATCAAACATTAACACTCCTGAAGCCTGGATATAATGATATTTATCATGGATTTAAAAACATTCAGAGGTACCAGACTTTGGAGTTTCAGGTCTGACTGTAAGATGATCTGTGAACTCGGAGCAGAAAATCTAAAAGCTTTCTTCACCGTTTCTGTTTTGACCTTAGAACAGTAAACAAACATGCCGTTTGCAAAAGACGGCGATAATTTCGTGGTTAAATAGGACAAGAGCGAGTCAGTCGTGTTGAATTGGTACGACTTCACAGTTTCAGATGAAGAGTAAACCACTCCCCGCTGTAAAGTCTGTCTGAAGGCGGTATCAACCCGTCACCATGGAAACAAATTCAGGAGGAAACGCTAAAGTTTTTTGTCATATCAGCGTTTCATCCACATGGAAACGGCGTTAACGGGTCAGAGAGTGAATAAATCTGTAAACGACGACCATTTCATCATGTGATAGCGTAACTCTTTTATGGCTGCAAAACAACCTTTATACACATGCTCTGTACTCTTCTTCAGTCTTTGTGCATTTCCTGTGCAACGTTACAGCGCCACTTACTAGTTTGGCATATGAACTACATCGTTTTCAGAGGTTTCGTTTTGAGAGACGATAGAAAAACTTTTTATTAAAGTGAAGTTTGGTGAAGTTGTCACTGAATAAAAAATCTAAATTTATTTCTGGCCTTAGTAAAAAGTGATCGTAGAGTCTGTTAATGACTTTTGACCTCTGGTTATGGAAGCAGTTGAATTCAGATGTTTGTTTTTGGAGATGTATGGTGAGTATTCAGCTCATCTTCCATTATAATGAAACCCACAGTCCAAACCAAACGTCACCTGGTCAGATTAGCTGCTAAAGAGAACAACTAAACAGGAAGTAAAATGCAAAGTAAAGTTCTGAAACTGTCATACAAACTCACTTCAGATAAATCCCTTTAAGAGAGCGTCAGATGAGACAGAAAACGCCTGTTTTTATTTATCTTTTTTGTTTGTACGGAGGAGATCACAGAGAGCTGAGACATACTGAGCTGTCAGAGTCCAGACGTTGGAGCTTTAAGGTCATGAAGGCTTTTAATGGTCTGCAGCTGTTGTTTGTTTTCCTGCACAACTTCTTCTCCGAGGTATAAAACTGTATAAATTATGAATCCAGCACTTTTGTTTTGTGGCTATTTTTCATTCAGCTGAAATTAAAGACCCCAGCTCTCTTACTCTGAGCTCGAAAAGCTTTTTTTATCACATTTTTGTTCCCAAAAATGTTTAAATCTGTAGAAGCAGGCCCTTTACAGCAGAGATAATCCATCCTCCTGACAGAGTGTCCCATCAAGGTGCTGATTAATGATTTTAACGCAGGTGTACCTTAGACTACTCGCTATTTTAAGACACAATAGAAAGTGTGATTTTAACACTTTACTTTTGGGAATGAATGAATAATCGGGCTGTTTATTAAACGCCCACCAGAGATGCTGCCGGTCAGTTAACTCATTCAGTCCTATGATGGATTTTTACGGATTTTTGAGTTTTTTTGTTCTTCGCCAGAGGGCGCTCTTTCCCAACATACAACTAAGTTTAGAGTCATTCTGAACGAAGAGAAGCCGACAAATACGTCAAAACCATGTTACAATAACAAAAACAAGTACTCGACAGAGAGGAGTGTGCCATCAAGTGTGCCAGTTAGCCGAGTTGTGAAGTGTCTCTATGAAAATATACTTATTTATTCTATTTATGTGACATTTTTTTGTGAATATAATGTAAAAATGTTGGAGACTGACTGTTTATTGAGTAAAGGAGAAGGGGAAGGTTTTAAAAAGCGTAATGCTTCATCCTACTCCTTCATGGACATGTTGAGTTTGCATTATTATTAGTAGCATTTTTTATTTTTATTTTTACTTTTGTTTCTTTGATTATTGTTGTTGTTGTTTTAAGTATTCTTACTTTCTTGTGTTGTACGCACATGTTCAAAAAAATAAATAAATGAAAAAAAAGAGATGTGAGGAGAGTCGGTAAATGCCGAAGTCATTAGCCAAGAGCTGACGGACTCGGTGGAGATTCTGGTACCGGACCTTCACATCGTCAGCCGACAATCAAAGAAAGAATTTTCCAGTGTGTCGTTGTGCCGCCCGTGCCGGTTCTGGTAAGCGAGACAGAGACATAATTCAGCGAGGAGGACGTGACTAGTCTGTGTGGGTTAAAGCGACCTATCATAATCGGATCTTGAGAGTGATGAGGAGTGGTGTCCGAGGAGGGAGGAGCTTGATGCCACCGGTAAAGTAGTTTGAAGTGAAATGAAACAGACGATCAGAGTTCTGCTCTAAAGTCTCTCCTTTATAAAAATGAGTTTTTCCAGATCGGCAAAGATGATATGACCACGCTGCATTGACCCTTTCTTTTTAGATATTGAACTTCATTCTAGTCCAAGATATTCTGCTGGTCCTCAAAGATACGGAAACTTGTATTGTGGTCAATGGTGGCACTGGGTGAAAACTGCATAAATGAACCTGGCACTGACTGAGTTAAATGCACCTTTCAGCTGGCTGCCTCCAGAAACTGGCACTTCATCCTACCACAACCACAAACCCACTGTGACCACGCCAGCCCTGGACATCCACATTCAGAGCTTCACCTGCACAATCGTCTTCGACCGACCGCAGGAACAGTTGAGAGAAAAAGCTTTAGTGCACCTGGATAAAAAACAGTCTTGTTTCTTTTATTCCCACTCATGAAAAATGTCTCTCTGGGACAAAAGTGCTGTGCTTATACTTTGTTATTTAAATGAAGGCAGACTGGAGGACACAAACACCTCTCTTTGTGTTCTGCATTAAAATACAGCCGCCTCTAAACTGATCAGAGACTTCCAACAGAAACCGGGGTGTCGTCTGCGTACGTATGCATGCACCACGCCGGCTCTCCATCTGAAGTGGCATATGCGTTGTTTTTGTGCATGTGTATCATTTATTCATCCCCCCACTGGGCTCCACGGGACGCACGGAGCAGCAGTTGTCTCTCCTGTCAGATTTATCTGCCCTCATGTAATCTCAATTTCCACTTTCTCCCAAAAGGATCACTCGTCTTTGCGGCATCTTTCTCTTCTCTTCACACCCGACCAAGCCTCATTTCTCCTCCCTCCGTCCTCTCTTTCTTCACACAGATGTGCCGCGATGTTAAATTTGAGCTCACCATCTTTCTTTCTTTTTCGGATGCACACAAACAGAGGTAAACACAGCCTGGCAAACATAGCATTCATCTCTGCATCTATCTGATTCTTGGCTCAAAGATGAGAATCCTCTGGCAGGATTTTTCTCTCTCTTTCTCTCCCACATACTCACTCACTCACTCTATCTTTTTCTTTCTATCTAAACACAAATTGAATCTGTGGTCTTGACAGGACAGGAGGACAGAGAGGACGAATAAAAATCACCTCATTACGCCACCCTTACGGACGCGCCTCCCCTCTCGCACACACACAGGTCGTTCACACGCATTAGGGATGGAAATAGAAAATCCTTGAATCCTGGTTAAACAGTGATTGGTGTGTAAATGCTGACAGGCGAGGGCGAGAGGCCACATGTGACGGCGTGATCGGAGACGGGCAGCAGGAAAACAGAGCGACAGACGACGGCGGCGCTGGCGGCGGCGATGCTGCTCATGGAGGCAGGAGTGATGCTGATTTTGTTGAAACAGATGAGTGATGAAGGTCACAATGACAATATAAGCGATGGAACCGTGATAATGATAATGATGATGTCCCCTCCGTCTTTATCTCCTCCCTCCTCTCAGGGATGGAGTCCATGATGTCGCAGCTGCACGTGAACGCCGAGTCGATGGTCTCTGTGATAATTCCAGGCCTGACTGATGACTTCCTGCAGAGCAGCCGTGACGGCAATTTAGAGTCAGAGGTGCAGCCGAAGAGGTTATTGATCACGACACGCCAGACTGATATTATCTGAAAAATCTCCTGCTGTTAATTTTCTGCTAAGAATCTTTATTTGTGCAGAAAAAAAAACGAGGCTGACAGGCTTCAGGAGGAAAAATCTACAAAAGAGGGTTAGGGCCCAGAGGGGGAAAAAAGGGTCGAATATTATTGTTTTTGGGTTTTTTTTAAGAAAATTCTGAGAAAGAAGTTCGAATTCTGACAATCAAAGACTTCAGATGGTCGTTAATTTCTCCTTTTTTAATTCCCCCTTTAAACCTCCATCAGACATGTCTTACAAACTGCATGTCATCTAAATATGTTTGGTTATTAAAGCTCCTGATTTGTGTCGATTTTGGCGCCCCCTGTGGACAAAAAAGTAGTTGCTTATCATGTCCTTTACATTATGTCACAGTTGGTCTTGATTGTTTTTATAGTTGTTTTTATTTATAGATAAAGTTGAGTTGTTTGTGTTTCGGCATCAATCTGAATTTTAGTCGATTTCATAAAAGTTAAAAAATTTCCTACTGGAGCTTTAAGATGAAGCAGAGGAGCTTTTCCAGATTTACACCAACGTGTTGAAGGTGAAGTCAGGAAACCGTTTCATCACACAGACTAATAACTGAATAGAACTCCCTTCTGTTAACTAAAACACCAAAAATTCACCAAATTTAGTTCAAATCTCCCAAATTAAGTCGACTAATCTCTTATAAAAATTTGAAATATCTGCTCTCCGAGTTTGTCACTGCCGACTTTGCAAAGTTCTCTGTATCATCTCCGTTATAAATAAACTAAATAAATATATTACTGGATAAATGAATATCTAAATAAAAAAATGCAAAAATAATATATTTATAAATAAGTAAACACCTAAATAAATAAATGCATAAATAAATAAATTAATGAATAAATAAAAACTCAAATAAATAAATCAATAAATGAATAAATAAATAAACAATGAATAAACAAAAACATAAATAAATAAATGCAGAAATAAACACTCAAATAAATAAATAAGTAAATAAAAAATGCAGATATAAATATATTAATGAATAAACTAATACCTTAATAAATAAATAAATTCTTTTTTTTGTTTTGTTTTTATTACTGTATTTTTGTATTTATATTTTTACTTATTTCTTCAATTATACATGCATTTTTCAATTTATTTATACACTCATGGTGTTCTACATTAATAGATATAAATGATTGCATTTCAACAGTAATCTGTTTACGTATTTCTGCTTCCATTTTGTCGGTGGAAAAGTATTTATGTAAATTGAGTGGGCGGTCCTAACTCCACTCTGAAGCAGGATTGGTTACACTGATATGATCGGTTCTAAGTCTACTACTGCTTTACACGCCCTTACCTCTGAGGTAAACGTCACACTAAAGCACTGAATTCCTCACCCTGAATGCTCCTCTATGTGCTAACATGACGCTTAGTTGAGACATAATGGAGGAAGAAACAGAACGAGACACACAAGCTGCCGTCACCCTATAATGTTCCATTAAAAATGCATGATGAATCACAGCATTAGCGCCGTATTAACACACACGTTTAAGCTGCGTGTACGCCGGGCGCTCCGTTTTCTGCTACAAATTGCACCGCCGTCCTTGGGTGGCTGTAACCCGTAAACCTTTGACAGCTCACAATTTCTCATAAAGGGGGAAGAGAAAATAGGAATTTTGCACGCTCCCCCTCCTCACTACCACACACAGAATGAAATGCACTCCTGCATTTTTCCTGAAGGAAACGAGGCGTAAATCAGATGATGAATCCCCTGCTCCTCCTCATCTGCATGCAGGCTTTGTAAGTATACTGTAGGTGTAAAGTTTGTTCCCATTATGTGCTGCATGCCATTTTCTGTCTGGACTGTTAAAGCGGGCTTTTGTATTCCACCAGCTGTCTTGTCATCTCCCAGCCAAGGTTCAGAGACGGAGAGCAGAATGGAAATCAGCAAAGAGGGAAAACTTTTTACCTCTGCAGATGGAGGACTTCACTCTCTCTCTCTCTGAAAACCAGCTGAGCCTTCAGTCCGGGCGCACTTTTCACATCACTATCAAAAAAGAGAGAGAGAGAGAAAAGAGAGGGATTAGGAAAAAGGAAGGGGTGGGTGTAGACAGACAGACAGAGGGAGGTTAGAATGACAAAGGTGAGATGTTTCTGGAAACCTTTGGGCGGCTCACAGACTGACAGTCTGACACATTAAAAAATCCCAAACAGGGACAGATTAGCCGCATTAGAGGCAGAAAAACCCAGGGGTGCAACTGAAGTTTGGACTCAGCTTTTTTTTTCCTCCTTTCAACTTGTTAAGTAATAATCAAAAAACGGCCTTATATAACACAATTAATAGGACACCTCAGAGCTGCATGTGTGTCAGACAGAGAGGGAGGAGGAGGAGGGATGGAGAGAGAAATGGAGCACAGAGGAGGATAAGACGACCAAAGGGGGGATGTTGAAATAAGGGAAAAAAACAGAGGGGGATTCCCATTAGAGAGACGGATGAAGGGGCGGCTGAGGATGACAGCAACATCTGACAGTTGGCGAGTCGATGATGGACAGAGAGAGAGAGACGGAGAGAGAGGAGCTCTGATTCCTCCGGCTAATCCCGCCTCGCAGGAAAAACACAATCTCACACCGAGGAGAGAGAGAGAGAGAGAGAGAAAGAGTTTACAACCTTCAGTGTCCTCTCTGTCACATGACTCTTCCTCCTCCACTGTCAAGAAGACCTCTGTGTGTGTAGGAGTGTGTGTGTCTCTGTGTGTGTGTGTGCGTTTGTGTTGAGTCTATAAAGGGATATAAACACAGCTTCAATAATTCAGACAGTGGGTGGAACAGTAAGAGCGAGCCTGCAGACACACAGCCAAAGAAAAACTACCTGGACGATAAAAATGAGAAAACGTTCGAGAAAAAAAGGACAAAGTACAAAACTGTCTTTATTAATGTGATTCAACACTTCAGGGGCAGGATTCACAGACACACAAATGACTGTTTTGAAGCTCATCTGCACCTGTCATGGCGGGAAAACCTGTCAACGGTTCATGAAACAACCGACGTTTGATTGTCACAAGTGAACAAATCTGGATCATGTGAACAAAAAGGCCTGTAAATATCTGATGGTCTGTCTTCATAAAGCTGTAAACTGATCCGTTTTGGACGAAGACGAGTCACAGAGCAGGTTTTCAATGGAGCCGGATTAGCATTGTAGTAAAAGTCGTATTTACACTGAAACAGGTGTTGGAGCTGAAAAATGTCAGAATAAAAGCATGAAAGATGGATTTTTTATTCGGATTACACACAAATATAAATGACGGAGTAAAGGGGCTGAGAAAAAATGTTTTTTTTCCTTTTCTGGACCGATTTTGATCAGTCGGTCTTCCTGTCGGCGGGAAGAGTAGTAGCCTACAGTATATCTGCAGTATATATATTTAATAAGTTAATAATAATAAAAACTTAAACTTAAAACTTAATAAAAAAATCGGACGATTAATCAGTAATCAGATTTTTTTCTCCCTTATAATCGGCATCGGCCCCCAAAAAATCCATATTGATCTAGATAGATAGATAGATAGATAGATAGATAGATAGATAGATAGATAGATAATCATTGTCTTATTATGCTGTCCAAGGAGAGGTTACAGACCCCCACCTGTCAATCAAATTAGCCACACCCCTGAATAGGCTAACCCGAACCCTAACATGAATTCCTTCACTTGTGAGTGAGCCTCGTGTGGCCACTTGAAGAACTGCAGTGTCTGTTTCTCCTCCATATTCAAAAGTTGTATTCGAAATCTAACATCACTCATGAACAAAACACCACTGCTCCTATTTTAATATCCTTAATTTATTCATATCAGCATCTATATCATCTATATCACTCCTGTTTGACTCAGATTGGTCTATCGTGGTCTTCCAAATAAGATAAGAACCTCTAAATGGTGCATCATAGGGGGCGTGCAACAGCGGCATAGAGGAACCAGAAGGAAGACAAGAGGCATCTATGATAAGCCAGATTCAACTATGAGTGGACCCAGAGTTTGAAAGATAACTGACAGACATCCTGAGGGAAAGTCTGGTCTGAATAAGAGAGACGGAGCCGTTCGACTCTGACGGAGCGGCTCTTTTATCTGGAAATACGGCTGAGTTAGTCCGAAAAACCTGACGACTCAGAGATAAGACCAGGAGGCCGAGGTGCACTCTTCAACACTCCTCAGCAGTTTTCATTACCGGCACATAATCCTCCAGAGAGCAAATGAAAAAGGAGTGAAATGAAAAACAGAAACTGAAAACTGCCATAAAACGAGGAAACTCAAAGAGGCCACGCCCCTAATCATGAATAACAGTCACTCTATAGAGTCTATATTATTATTATTATTATTACTATTACTCTATAGATGATACAGATGATATCTAAAGATCTGAGAGCTGCAGGAGGCTTCAGAGGAATTATGGGTGTTGATGTTTGGTCCACAGTCGTTCTATTACTGCTAATCGTTATGGTAATAAATGTTATTTGATTCTCTGCAGCAGAGTTTCAAATGTCAGATTAAATCTAAGAATCATGAAATAATAATGTGAGCTCAATAATTTGATTATCTTCATTTTCTGGGATAATTTAATGCAAATTAACTCATTTCAATAATGCATGAAGTAGTCTGACGGAGCCAGTCTGCTGTCGAGATGTTTGTCATCGTCACCTCGTTAACGCTGGATTTCAGGATTTCTGTGTCATGAAAGATATTAAATAAACATTTATAATATCAGGTTTATACTTTAAACTTCTTCTAACAATTTTATACAGGAAGTCAAATGTCTAAAACGCCACATAAAGTGACCATACATCACTGTGTTCACTTTAAAATCTTTGACTATTATTAATAATTTTTTCTTATTTTATCCTCGCAGGTCAGTGACTTGTTCAGATAACGCTGTTCTTTCAGGATTCTAATTTGCATAAAAATAATAATAATTACTTGATTAATAAAGCAACTTTAAAAACAGATGTTTACAAAGAACTTTGACAGATAAAAATTAGTTAATAAAAATGATGATAGTAGAGGAGGAATAAAGTTCAACAGATTAGACGATGAGGGACTGTGATCCGAAGTAAATAAAGTTCATGTTTTTTTATAGACAGTACAGAAGAGGATCAAAAATAAAATCCAGATTTTTTGGGGGGAAACTGAAACTTTTTTTTTTCAGTGACAACTTCACCAAACTTCACTTTAATAAAAAGTTTTTCTTTCATCTCTCAAAACTAAACCACTGAAAACGATGTAGTGCATATGCCAAGACAGTATGTGGCGCTGTAACGATCAGTAAGAGTACAGAGCATGTGTATAAAGGTTGTTGTGGCGCCATGAAAGAGTTACTCTGTGTGTCACATGATCATTTCCAGAGATGCAGATAGACATCCACACGGAGATGAAATGGTCGTCGTTTACAGATTTATTCACTCCCGTGTGGACAAAGCGCCGATACGACAAAAAACTTTAGCGTTTCCTCCTGAATTTGTTTCCATGGTGACGGGTTGATACCGCCTTCAGACAGACTTTGCAGCGGGGAGTGGTTTACTCTTCATCTGAAACTGTGAAGTCGTACCAATTCAACACGACTGACTCGCTCTTGTCCTATTTAACCACGAAATTATCGCCTTCTTTTGCAAACGCCATGTTTGTTTACACTGGTGTGTGTGGGAACTGGAGGTGTGAGACATGATAGAGAGGAAAATTGAATTGAGGATTTTAATTTATCTAACATCATCATAATCAAATAATCTGATTAAGATTTAAAATCGATTTATCGTGCAGCCCTACCGTCAACCATCAATTCATTAACCGTCAATTTTAGTCTGTTTAATCTGTTAAAGCACTTTGTAAACAAATGTTTTTAAATGTGCTTTATAAATAAAGTTATTACTGTTATTGTAAATGTACAAAAAAGAGACTCAGTCAAAGTGAGTTTTCAAAGACGTCTCTGATTCTGAACCTCTGACCTCCTCGATCCAGAATCAAAAAGCTCGATCCTCTTTAGATTTGAGCCTCGACTTTGGAAAGACCAGCAGGGAGTCACCTGAGGGTCTCAGAGTCCGGGATGGCTCGTACGGCGTTAGCATTTTAATAATATCACTGAGACGAGCTTTAAAAGTGCTCAGTTCTAAAACGCAGAGGGAGGCGAGGAGAAGAGTGATGAGATGTCATCGTTAAAACCTGTTGAAGGAGAGACAGAGAATTGTGGGTAAAACCGGAGAGAAGAGGAGAGGATGAAGGACTCTCTCAGGTTTAATCTCCGAGATGGATCTTAATTGAATGAAACATGATTGGACATGTTAGCCGACGTGTGCGGAGATCTTTACATTGGTTCATGTGTGTCTACAATCGTACAGAGAAATGATCCTTTCAGTCAACATCCCCGAGCTTCAGCGATCTAAGCTCCGCCGCAGAGATCAGATTTCCACCTCAAACATCACAAATCGTCTTTAATCCCAGCAGGAGGTGAAGAGAAACTGCACAGCTGCACACACACACACACACACACACACACCCAGGTGGTACAGTAGAGCAGGAACTGTGAAGACGGTCTTGGCTCAGGAGCTGGTCTTGGCTTTAGTCCACGTTTCTATTATCTAAATCAAAAACTGATGAGAAACAAAAAGGGGGAAACAGGAGGAGAGAGAGTCTGCAGAAAAACTAAAACACAGACTCTGATGCATCACTGCTGGTAAAATTAGCTAAACATAGAAACTACTACTCAGCTGTCACACACACACACACACACACACTCCTTATTTCTATTTGTGTGTGTTTGCTCCTCTGTAGTCCCCTTGACTGCGACTGGAGAGGACAGCGGAGAGAGGAGCTGGGTGTTTATTGTTATCTCCTCAGACTGGAGCCCGTAAAGGCTAAAAACACAGCCAGGACCACGGAGCCCAGGAGCGGTGTGAGTGAGTCACACTCAGCTGGTCTCCGTCAGTGGGAGGGCTGCGCGGTGTGGGATATCTGATTTGTGGTGGGGGGGGGAAAAAAAAGAAAGAGAGAAAGAAAAAATCAGTTTGGCCGCGGGCGAGCTCGGGGCGCAGGGAGGCCGGGCGCGGCAGCCTCGGTCTGACTCCTCTGAATGTCACGTCTCCTGACCGCTCATGAGCTGCAGACGGACCTGATGTCTGTGTGATCCAGACATCACATCCTGTTTGTGCCGTTTAACATGTGAAAGGCATTACAGTCTTTTCTGCTGTCAGCCGACTCTTCTTCTACCTCATTGTCTTCTTTTCTTTCTAACACTGACCGACTGTAAATCAAGGAGTGTGAGAGACATGGAGATACTCAGGGTCTGAAATGTGACTTCAACCCACTTTTATTGGGTGGTGATAGATGCTTGCTGACTATAAGACCTGTCATGACTTTTGGCTTTTATTTCGCACCGACTAAATGCCAAATTTTGCGCTAGATTTGGAGCAGCATTGGAGTAGATTCTGACCCAGAGTGAACCTCATGTGTGTCTGATAATCACTCAATCAGCCATCATTGACGAGTCTCCATTAGAGCTGCATGAAGTTGGTTTCATTAATGTGAATTATGATGGTTAATGTTTGTCGATGACCTTTTTCACTTCGATGGCGACCAGATTAAAACTTGTCAGTGGAAATGAAAACTCCAGTAGGAGGTTAAAGATTTGGTTTCACAAGCGAGACGACGTCACGATGAAGATGTGTGAGGTGGACTCCAACATCTCTGAGGTTTTCTTGAAGTTGTCACACAAACTGGTTCAGGTCTGCAGTGTTAATTTGGTCACTTATCTGCAAACCGTTTCAGCCTCCATGCATCAAATTTTCTCGCCATTATGAGTGAATTTAGTGAAACGTTTTCTCGTTTTCATCAACCCTTAAAGGTAGGGTAGTCAGGATCTGAGGAAGTTCCAGTTTTCAGGAGAAATCTTGAATGTAAACTCTACCCCTCCCAACCAGTTTTCCCCTCAGCTCCTCCTCTCCCCTCAAGCCCCGCCCACAAACAGATGCTCCTGCTCGCTCGTATCGTTCCAATTAAATTCAGATATAATGCAGATAAATACTTCAGATCATTACAAATGGGGCCCAGTCAAGGTGAAAGTCAAAAGCATTGGTGCTACTGTAGATGCCAACAGACTACCAGCAAACACAATGTTTGCAGGACTTCTACAACTAGGATAAAGTGACATAGTCCAGGACCCGAGGGAGGACAGTTTAGCGATGGCGCTACAACACGCTACAGCAGGTCCGTTTGACAAGAAACACTTCTGTTACAGACACTTGTCTTACTTTGTTAAAGCGGTTTACCTGTCCAGCAGAAAGGTTACAGGGTCACCAAGATCCCCAAGCGTCCCCCATCGTTTATGTTGACCCGGCTTTTTAGCTCTTGTCCGGTCTACCTCCGTTTTAAGCGCCCGTTATTCCTCCAGAGTCTCCGCTATTTACTTTGTTTTCTTGCTTGTGTCGGCAGTCATGGCCAAAGGAGGATTCAGACAATTTTCCGAACTTTCTGGTTGGTTTCTACTGTCCGATATTGTAGCACGCTAACTTTGTTTGAGCTCCTGAACGACACGGGGGAGCAGCATTTTCTTGTTGACTGTTTTCTTGTTGCCTGTTTTGGTGTGGACTGTTTTCTTGTTGACTGTTTTCTTGTTGACTCTTTTCTTGTTGACTGTTTTCTTGTTGACTGTTTTCTTGCTGACTGTTTTCTTGTTGACTGTTTTCTTGCTGACTGTTTGTGGTTGACTGTTTTCTTGTTGACTGTTTTCTTGTTGACTGTTTTCTTGCTGACTCTTTTCTTGTTGACTGTTTTCTTTTTGACCGGTTTGGTGTTGACTGTTATCTTGTTGACTGTTTTCTTGCTGACTGTTTTCTTGTTGACTGTTTTCTTGCTGACTGTTTGTGGTTGACTGTTTTCTTGCTGACTGTTTTCTTGTTGACTGTTTTCTTGCTGACTGTTTGTGGTTGACTGTTTTCTTGTTGACTGTTTTCTTGTTGACTGTTTTCTTGCTGACTCTTTTCTTGTTGACTGTTTTCTTTTGACCGGTTTGGTGTTGACTGTTATCTTGTTGACTGTTTTCTTGCTGACTGTTTTCTTGTTGACTGTTTTCTTGTTGACTGTTTTCTTGTTGACTGTTTTTTGGTGGTTGACTGTTTTCTTGTTGACTGTTTTCTGTGTTTTCTTGTTGACTGTTTTCTTGCTGACTGTTTGTGGTTGACTGTTTTCTTGTTGACTGTTTTCTTGTTGACTGTTATCTTGTTGACTGTTTTCTTGTTGACTGTTTTCTTGCTGACTGTTTTCTTGTTGACTGTTTTCTTGTTGACTGTTGTCTTGCTGACTGTTTTCTTGTTGACCGTTTTCCTGTTGATATCATTAATAACTAATAATTATTGACTGATATTAAAAGATTTTTTGTTTATACACCACAAAAAAGATGCTTCTTTAACGGATTCCTGTCTACCCCACCTTTGACCATCATATTAATCAGATTACCAAAACCCGATCCTTCCACCTTAATTAATTATATACCAAATTAAACATAAATGTACAAAACTCTGCCGCTCTCCTCCTCATCCTCACCCGACCACATCCCTCCAGTCCTCCAGAACTTCCACCGGCTCCAAATCTTACAGAAGTTTAACGGTAAAAGAGAGACGATGCTGCAGATTTAAGTGCTTGGCACAACCTCCAGACTGACTCCTGATTGGTTAATTGAATTAGTTTGAAGTCGTTTTGACTTTTTATTGACTTACTCCGACTAAAATGTAAATAAAAGAGTAAAAATGAGATTAAAACCAGGAGGCGTTTTTGTCTAAAGAGTGAGTCTGAGGTAGCGGGCAGAGATAACGGCGGTTTGATGACAGTGCAAAAGTCGCTAACATCGGAAGTGTTGGATAATCCATTAAAAAATGCATCAAGCGTGTTTCCACAGAATTTCAATTAGCTTATTAACAGACGCGGTGGGAGGGATGATTTAGTGTAATCTAATGTCATGTTTTCACAGCTTTTAAAAGTTGGCAGAGACGCAGCAGCAGCTTGTAAAACGTGTTAAAGACACTCTCTGCATATGTGCGTCGCTCATCCAGGTCACTGCAGGCTGCATGTCTGCCAAATTGAAGTGAAGTGGAAATGATGTCCACCCCGGTCCTCTGCTTCTTTGTCAGGACCCGCTGTTTGGTCTCTGGAGTGCGTGACGGCCTACAGGACTGTCAATGAAAGCGCGGCGTCCAACCTGCTCTGTGGGACTTCAAAGGACTCTCCCACGGCGGCGAGGATTACCTCAGCCTCTGTGTGGACACTTAAGATCTCAACAGAGGAGTGTTTTCTAAAGGACAAACTCGGGATGACAAAGACATGAAATCCCCTCTAAATAGGAAGAGGAGAGCTCTCAGGGCTTTGGGACGGAGAGGCGGGTTTAGTCCGTCCGCTGGGAGCCATGAGAGGAGGATGGGAAGAACACCTTCGATGAGGACGGGGACAATAAACGGAGACAACATGAGGACGATGGAGTGGGCGGACCGGCTGGACTAAGAGGGGGACAAGTGGACTGCTTACAGGGAAACGTTCAGGAGTTTGGACTGGATGACCCAACAAGATCACACACTGATATCTGCTCGACTAAATCCACTTTATATGTTTCCTCAAAACCACAAACGGTTTCACAGTAAAGTTTACTGTTATTATTTTCAACACCGCCGGAGAAAAGCATCGAAAATTCTCCTCCTGTCAGAGCAGTGCTACTGTTATGGTGTGTTTGACCCTAACTTAATTTTTTGCTGGAATATCCCTTTAAACTGTCCTGTGTGAAAAACTCAAATCTTCAGAAGCCTCATTAGGCTCAATTTAAGCCACGTCCACCTGAAAAGCCAATAAAAATTTATTTTACACTCCTGAAATAAAGACTAAATTGCTTGTAATAAACTGGAAATGGCATAAAAATGTACTTTTGACACGATTTCTTATTTCAGTGACATTTTGGAAAGTTTTTTACTCTTTAAATGTGATCCAGTTTTTATTTTTGGCATGTCGTATCTTGATATAAACCTCTTTCCTGGACACCTTTTTTTTTGCAGCACATTCACCTGTAAAATAAATACTGAGATGGAGATTAAATATGAGAACAGGATAAAAAAAGTCTGGTGTAGTTCCTTATATGAAGCCAAACTGCAGCCCGCTGCCTTATATCGTACTACCATTCAGAGACTACAGGGACTTCGTCATAGCGTTGCCCTTTGAACTTTGATCCTCTTGCTAACCCATCTGTCGCCGTTTTTTGCACATCTGTTTGATCTGTCTGTGCTCTCTTGCCAGCTCAGACACTGTGACGCAACTTCAGTCGCCCAAAGGATTGTGGGTCAGAGCAGCCAAAAGAGCGAACTGCAAACTGGTGAAGTCGACTCTCCTGGAATCGTCTGCACATATATCTTTTTAGAGCGTATACACACATGCGTATTAAGACTCCTCCAGTCCATCATGCTGAATGGTAGACTGTATAAAGAGGAGTGCAGCCTCACTGACAGCACTCATTGGTTTTGGTGAAGCCCTGTGATTGGATTATCGTTTGATTGGAAATGTATATCTGCTTTGGAAACAGGTAAAGGGGATGAGTCTTGGCAGGCTGAATGGATCTTTGGATGCGTGTCAAATCTTGATTGAATCAGCATTGATTAAATGCAAAACCTTTTTTTTTTTTTTCCTCCATTTGCAACCACAAAACTTTCTGAATTCTCTGTAGTTGCATTAGTGAGGTGGAGCTGATGGGTGTTGTAGTTTTAAGAGCCTTCACTGAACCGAAGTGAAATGATCCGTAAACAGTCAAAGCTATAAAGAAAAAAGGCAACATGAGGCCATGAACCGTTCTTTAATGACGAGCAAGGTAACTTATGTAGGGAAGCCTGTTTCTGCCAGTCAAAAAAATATAATAATTATTCAAAACATTTAAAGAAAAAAATTCTTGAGTCTGAATGATGAGTTACTGAGTCATAATAACGAGATAATTTCTCATAATTGTAAAAAACTAAGTCAAAATTATGAGTTACTGTCATATTATGAGAAACTAAGTAAGAATTTGAAGAAAGTCTCTCATAATTCTGACTTTGTTTCTCATAATTATGAAATATTTAGTCATAATTATGGGAAACTAAGTCAATTATAGACGTTCTCATTATTCTGACTTAGAAATGCATAATTATGAAATATCATATTTCCAAGATACTAAGTCAAAATTATGAGATGCTTATCAATGCGAAATACTAAATCATAAATATGAGTGACTTATTCAGAATTATGAGATACTATCTCATAATTATCAAATACTAAGACAGAATTATGAGATAATATCTTATAATTCTGACTTTGTTTCTGATTATTATGGCTTAGTCTCTCATAATTATGACTTAGTATCTTGTAATTATGACTTAGTATTTCATAATTATGAGAGACTAAGTCATAATTATAAGATAGTATCTCATAGTTATGACTCAGAATTTCATGAATATGGTAAAGTATGTCATAATTCTGATTTGTTTCTTATAATTATGACTTAGTATCTCATAATTATGAGAGACTAAGTAGTAATTATAAGATAGTATCTCATAATTATGTCTTAATGATTTTTTTTTTTTACTTTCCAACTTTTTTTTTGTTTTTTTTTTTGTGGCAGAAAAGGGCTTCCATACTCTTGTGTGTCTTTGTTGGAGAAAACTTTTTGAAACACCTTGAATTCAGGAGGACTCAGAGTTTTTGGAGAAAAAGGCTCCTGGCAGCCGCTCAGCTCACTACAAAAGCTCAGTGGAACAAAAAAGAAGACCACCAGTCTTTACGTTTATGTGCAGGTAAAGTTTTTTAAGCCTCTCCAAAGTCTTCAGCAGACGCTTATCTGAGCTTCACAGGGATGTTGGGGGACGCTTTTCTGTGATGCACGCTCAAAACCGCGGTGTTGGACGCCGAATATTTAGGTTAGTTAAAGGAGCAGTCTGCGGATTTTAATGGTATTTATCACATGGCTGTTTAAAAACCTGATCACACACACATCACATGAATTTACCTCTGGGGGGCTACTGGCTCTCACTATCTGGTCCTGCAATCCAGGCTACAGCAACAGTTGTTTACCTTTAAAGGTGTGATGGGTGGTATTTAGTGACATCCAGCCAAACAGAAATGATGGATAAAAAATATATTATTTTATTTAATTATTAGTGTATTTTCACCTGGATATGAAAGTTATTTTGTTTTTGTTTTTTTCAGCTTAGAATGACAGTTAATAGATTTATATTTCAGAAAGTGGAAAAACTAGTTACAAATCAAAAAAGAGAGAGAGGTGGAGCGTTGACGTTTATTCCTCACAAAGGCTAATGAGAAATCCGTCGCCATGACAGCGACACCAGAGAATCAACTTTTAAAACAGTTTTAATTAGTTTATTAAATAACCTTTTAACTCATCATTCTGTCGTCTTTTTCACCTTGAATTAGTAGCCGGGTTATGAGCAAACTCGGTGAGCAAGGCCCATAACCACCCACTCATTATACATTATCAACGGGAAAAAGCAAAATTGGAGGCAGAAACAAGATGGCTACATTTACTAAAGTTATTTTAGCGCTCGTCTTTTATTCGAACAAGGCGAGCGCTAAAATAACTTTCGTAGATGTAGCCATCTTGTTTCCGCCTCCAACTTTTTCCAACGCTGGTAACTGTGCGATATTTTCAGCTCTGACATCTGACTTCCGATGTAACCAGATCATGTACAACATGGCTGACGAAATCTCCTTCTCATGCAAACAAATGAATTCTTATTTATGATGAATTTTACAAAATTAAACCCACTTATTTTAACTGTATTTTAGCCATTAGCTCCCCTTTAATCGTGCACACCGGCCCTTTAAAGCGGGTTCAATCGCTTCATGTTAATCATGAAAAAGCAAATATTGAACACAACTTCCTTTATTTGAATGATGATTCGTTAGTAAATGATTTGATCTCAAGTACGTTCAGAGCTGCAGCGGTAGATCACAATTGAACTCCCTCAGT